CAGCAGGAGGAAAAAAGATATAGAAAAAGCCTAACCCAAGAACAGTGAAAGAGAGCTTTTTTTAAGTAAAGGTGTTAACATATCAGGGGTACATAAAAGTTACATTAAATTTTTTGAGAATTAAAAAGGTGTTATGAAGAACATGACCTAATTAGATAAATACTATCTACAAAAATGCTGTAGATTAAAATTTCTGAATCTGAATTTTTCTCTCCTGAGAGCAGATGAAGAAGTAAACTTTTATTCCGGACTGGAATTCCCTTCCTGATTTTCCCCAGTAACTCACAGGAGTAACACGCTGTTTCGTGGTGCTGAACAGCAAGTGGGGAGACTGGAGATGCTGCCAAATATATATTTCACCATGATCCTATATTTCTTGGCTGCTTCAGTAGGTGAAGGATAGAGAAGGCTTTATATTGATATGCTGAGCAGTAAGTGAGAACGTCTACATTCTCAAATGATGTTATAAAGGCAGAGGAAATATAAATCCTCTCAGTTACATCAATCAGACTGTCTTTACCTTCAGTAGTTCCTTTTGTGTGTAATGGGACAGAAGGATCAAATTAATATTTTAGGAATTAAAATACACTATTGCTACGTACTTTCCATAAAAGCGTGTTGAGGATGAGGATTGATTCTAGGCAGCTTCATTCATGCAAAGTAACCCTTCTGCACTTTTATTCCTGCAAGTGTCTTCTTTTACTTGCTGGATGACTTTTCACTATAGATGTAATACTTGCACAGTGAAAGTCTGTCCCTTTTAAGAACACAACGCACAATAAGATGAGTGCCAGAGATAAAGGAAAAGACACACTGAAAAATGCTTATGGTAAGGAATGAAGATGAAGTATGTTGTTGTCAGGATTAAGGGACAAGACAAAAAACCAGATAAATGACAAATCTTATTGGTAGTATCTTTCATAATTTGAATCTGTTTTATAAAATTGCTTTTATTTATTTGTCATAACTAGGGAATTAAACTGGATTTTTTTTCTGTGAAATTCCTCATTACACTTGTGCTCTATTGCTCAGCAATTGTGCCAATGCTCAGCATTGGCTATCTGAAACACAAAAAGGTTTTTTTGATTGGAAAAGATTTTTGTTGCTTTTGCAAACACTCTTAAGTCTCATTTTCAAAATGTTAATTTTGGGAGTTCAAAAAATTTATGGCATTTTGAAAGTTTCCCTGTGGTGAACAGAGACAGTGAACCAATCCCTTGTTCCTCCTTGACCTCCTGGATTCTGGAAACAAAGCATAGGGATAAGGATCAATGGAGACCCTAAAGAACCACTGGCCAGTGGCTGCTGCAAAGTCTTAACCCTTTTTGGGATATCTTGGCTGTACTTGACTGTATAATATACACTGCGTGCTGCTCTGAAACATAACTCATCAAAGCCTTGGCTGATACAGGAAATGCTGTAAATTCCTGTTGATGCAATGCATCATGATGTGCAAAAGGAAAGAGAAAAACACATGGAATAAATCATATCTATGTACCAACAAGAGTGGATGGAAACTAGATAAAAAGATATGTGCTAAAGAGGTGTCTAAAAGCAGATGTAACTATGCAATTCTCTTCTGACCTTTGTCAAGCCTTACATAATCAATCACAAACATGACACAAAATATCCAGCTTGCAAATAATTTCTGGGGTTATATCATAAAATCATAGAATCATAGAATTGTCAGCGTTGGAAGGCACCTTAAAAATCATCTAGTTCCAACCCCCCTGCCATGGGCAGGGTCATCTCCCACTAGATCCGGCTGCTGAGAGCCCCATCCAGCCTGGCCTTAAAAACTTCCAGGGATGGGGCTTCCACCACCTCTCTGGGCAACCTGTGCCAGTGTCTCACCAGCCTCATGGGGAAGAACTTCCCCCTAATGTCCAATCTGAAACGACGCATCTCTAGTTTGAATCCATTCCCTCTAGTCCTATCACTATACGACATCCTAAAAAGCCTCTCACCAGCTTTCTTGTCGGCCCCCTTAAGATACTGGAAGGCCACAATAAGGTCTCCTCAGAGCCTTCTTTTCTGCAGAAAAATAGCTTCATACAAACCTTTGGGAGATATAATTTGGTGTATCTTCAAAGTTTTTAAACTTATACAAACTGTAGTATAGTAATGCCAATCTAATCATCTTCCCAGAGGTAAGTCTCTACAGATAGGCATGACACCTTAAAAGGGCAAAAGGTCTGCTGGTGGCATGTGCCAGATTATGAGACCTAGTTCTGTGCTGTTACCACTGGAGCCTTATTTACTATAGTTTTATGTCCTCACAGGTCTGGTTCTTTTATTCTAAGTGCAGTTATTAATTAAAGGCCTTCGGAGTTCCCCTCTAGCATGATATTGCCAAAACCAATCAACCAACAAAATTTCCTACTTCTGTTAGATATGCATAGAAAAAAACATTGATTCTAAAGCCTGTTGCTTGTTGACTTAGTAAAGGAAGATGATAGTAGAAGTTGCCATTTGAATAATTCACTGTACTTTATACATGACAAGATGGGGTTAGAGCAGAGAAGTGTAAATAATCCTAAGGTAAAATCTAGGTTACTATCCCTGCTACCAGCTCTTTATTGTAGCCTCTTATTATGCAAATTGCACTCTTTAATTGAAGTGTAAATTACTCTAATGTACATCATCTCTGAATTTGGCCTGCTGTTCTCATTCATTTTGCATGACTCCTACATTCTGAAGGAGGTCTTAATTAAAGCACTGTAGTAGACAGCCTGGCAGCAAGTAATGTTATTAGCTGGTATAACAGGAGCAGGACATAAATGCAAGTCATATGTCATGTCTCTAGCTTTCACCTCATCAACTTTGAGACTGAGCGCCATTATACATCTGTGTGCTTCAAGCAGAGAGGCACTCTTACTACACTAGTATTTTAATGCCAAATCAGCTGGCATAACAGTCTCTTGAAATCTAAGAGAAAAAATACAGAAAAATAGTTGCATCACACTCCTAGATTTGTCTATCAATAGTTTAGGTCACTAATTTAAAACTGCTTCTTTGATTCAGGCTCTGTATCTCTCTCTCTCTCTTAATTGAAGCAGGATCCTCTGGAAGCCCTCCCATTGTAGGAGAAAATCAGGTTTGAGATCACCTGAGGAACATGAACATACTTAAGTCCATGGGGCCTGATGACATGCATCCCAGGGTCCCGAGGGAAATGGCAGATGCAGTTGCCAAGCCACTCCTAGTCATATTTGAAAAGTCATACCACTTGGGCAAAGTCCTCAGTGACTGGAAGAAGAGAAACATCACATCCATTTTTAAAAAGGGTAAAAAGGAGAACTGTGGTAACTACCAACCTGACAGCTTCACCTCCATTCCTGTTAAGATCATGAAAGAGATCTTCTTGGAACACATGTCAAAGGATGTGGAAGATTGAGAGGTTAAAGAGAAAGCCAACACAGTTTCACAAAGGGCAAATCATGCCTGAGTAGCCCAGTAGCCTTTGATGATGTAGTGGGTGCATCAGTGGGCAAGGAAAGGGCTATGGATTTCACCTGCCTGGACTTCTCTAAGACCTTTGACATGGTTCCCCCCAGCATTGTTGACACTGAACTGGAGAGTGTTGGGTTTAGTGGATGGACTGTTAGATGGAAGAGAAATTGACTGGATGGCCATGTCCAAAGAATTATTATCAATGGCTCAATGTCCAAGGTGAAACCAGTAACAAAGGGTCTGTAGTGGGACCAATACTGTTTAATATCTTCATCAGTGTTGTATACAGCAGGACTGAATGTACCTACAGCAAGTTGCAGATAAATGCAAAGCTGAGCGGTGCAGCTGGTACACTTGAGG